CCGCCATCTTCCTTCTGGCGACAAACCGTGGCGCGGGTGGCGACGGCGGCCACCTGACTTCCCCCTTTTCCGTGCGGTCTTCCGCGCCGCGCGCCCCCGCCAAGGGAGGGGTCCGCCGCCCAGGCCGCCGCGCACGCGCCCCGGAGCTCCGCCTCCCGGGCCCAGGCCGCCGCGCACGCGCCCCGGAGCTCCGCCTCCCTGCCCCGCGTCGCAGGCCCCCGAGCGCGGCCGTGCGCGTGCGCGGCGCCTCCCAGGAGGGATGGCTATGGCAGCCTCTGTTCTCTTGCTCGGGTGCCTGCTCTACCCAGCGATGACCATATGGACCCGGTTGGCGACGAGTACGTTCTGAGCCCGTGACTTTTGTTCCCACCAAGTTCTGAACGCTGCCAGCTGAAATGTGAGAAGCTGTGCCGGTTTAAAATGTTTCCGAGGATTTGGAAAAATACCGCTTTAACTAAAATAGGCACGCACAACCCAGTCCGCAATTGGAAGGTCTTTCCTGATATGTTCATTTATTCAGCCGACAAATTTTTATTGGTCTTTTATGATAGGAAGGCCTCCGTGCTCGTTCTTAGGAATGACCAATGCAGAACAAACAAACAGTGGAGGAAAAGAAAAACAAAAAACCCAGAGAAATTAATTGCTCTTAAGCTCACCTCTATTAATTAGACATTGAGTTAGTGAAGCCATTGTTTCTTTTTGGAAGGAAATAACATGGTAGGTTAGGCTTGGATCTCTGTTCTCATGAACTGACTGGCCAGAATGCATACAAGCCAGCCAGTAAAATTTTCAATTTCATACAACCAATTTTTAAGGTAAATATCCCATGAAGAATTTGAGACATACTTAAAACATTATTCATTGTTTTCAGATTTTTCTAGCTCTCTATTTATTTATCTTTTTTTATTTGCTAAATCTGGCAACGCCACCACTGAGGCTTCAAAAGAACACAGTCAAAGCTGACACCGGAAGCAGCCGGAAATCTTGTTACAATTTTGTTGCTAGTTCAGTAGGCCTGAGGGAGACCAGAGGATCTGTATTTCTTAAAGGCTCCCAGGTAAGAGGACTGCTTCTCATCCGAAAACTACACACCGTTTAGCAAGGACTCAGAGTTTAGCTAGGAGTTAAGACTTTAATATTAGAAAATGTGAAATATTGAAAGCCTTTGGACAGTGTCATGACATGAACAGAAACATCTTAAGCTGTGTCTATCTGACAGCTGTGTGTAAATGATAGAAATGAGTACCCTAAAGAGTTCAAATAGCTATTTGGGTCCAAGAACACTGTCATTAAGTGACTTACTGAAGTGTGCCTTTGCAGAGAACAGGAAGAGGAAGTATGCTGATAAGTTCGGGAACAGCAAGTGTCCGGTTGAAGATAAGATTTCTGTGGAGACAACAGAAAGTTAATAAAGAACAGAGTCTGGCCAAGGACCTCAAGGGCCACAAATCAATGCCGATTTCCTCTTTTATAAAGTTTCCAAGCCCTCACTTTCCTTATCACTCCCTTCAATTGTATGTGTGTAAGTATTACTGTACCTCCAAACCAAGGTTCAGTAATTTATCCAATACTGCATAGCTCAGACATGACTGAAACCTGGGCATTTTATTCAATTTCCCGTATTTTTTCCACTGTAAAAATTTTCTTCCTCCTTACTGTCTAGATGCTCTCCACAGATTTAAACTTCAGGGAGGTGTCTTCTCTACCATGCCAGCCATCCAGTTCATAGCACCTGCTCCATCCGAAATATCTGTGTGATGATTGGGGGATTTCCCTCCAATGTTGCTCTTGTTATGTTATCATGTTTGACTCAGTGGGTTCTCAGTAACTGTTACACAGTTCAGTTACTGGCAGCACTCTTCTTTAGAAGCCTCACCCAACTCTTGTAATGCTTTGCAACCATTTGAGTCAGAGTCTGTTTCTAGCTACGGCTTTGGTGATGTTTTGCATATGGTTCCCATAGTAATTCAAAGAGTAGTTAATCGTGTTTAATATTGGATAGTGCCAATAGCAGTTCCCCCAGTGCTACCCTCTTGATACAGCTGAAGGGAACTGCCTATGTATTTGGGGAAGATTTCAGTACATACAAACAGGAACCGATTATTACATGACTTCAAGAGGAAATATGCTAGTCTCCTTGCCTCTGATGCTTCATAATCGAGAAATAAGCAAAATATTCCTTACACAGTTCCACACAGGAGGACTTCTACTCTATTTCTTCCTTTTTTAAAAAACTATTTATTCCTTAATGATATTAGACAGTATATTTAGATCTTATCCATTCCCTTTCCCCAACTCTTTCCACATCTTCCCCATGATTTCCCTATCTCATTTCTGAACTTGCCTCTCTTTTACTTGTTAGTGGTTTAATCATAGCTTTTCAAAACTTCTGTAGACCTGACTTTTTAAAGTTGCTTTTTTTTTAAGATTTTTTTTTTTTAATGTGCATTGATGTCTTGCCTGCATGTATATCTGTGTGAAGGTGTCAGATCCCCTGGAACTGAGGTTACAGACAGTTGTGAGTGGCCTTGTGGGTGTTGGGATTTGAATCTGGGCCCTCTGGAGGAGCAGACAGTGCTCTTAACCATGGAGCCCTCCTCTTTTGTTTTTCTCCAGCCCTCCTCTTTTGTTTTTCTCCAGCCCTCCTCTTTTTTTTTTTTTTTTTTTTTAAGTGACTTATATATGCCTTAATCTAATTTCCTCTAGATATGCTCAGGGTCTGTAGCTATATTTTAAGTTTACCATGAAGGTTGGTGAGATGACTCAGCAGATTATGGAGTTTGCCAATAAGCCTGATGACCTGAATTTGATCGCCAGAAGCCATGCTGTGAAATGAGTAAACCAACTTCTCCAAATTGTCTTGCAAACCACACACATACTGTGGCATGTACCTCCCACCAACCAAAAAAAAAAAAAAAAAAAAACAACAAATGTCAAACTTATTGTGAACAGAGGTTACCTAATCTCACAGAATCACAGTCTTGGGGTGCATTGTCGTGTAGCAGTTTCCTTAAGGTTAAAATCTCATGCCCTAAATCTAGCTTAGTGAACTAGTGGGTTGCATGGGGTTATTTACAGGATCCATTGGCCCTAAAGCGGCCTGTAGTGGAAGGGTCACTCATAAGAGTATAGCAGCTGCTATATTCATGGATGATGACTCACAAAAGTATCTCTTTAAGAGCTTTCTGTGTGATTTGTAGATAGCTGACTCCTATCTCCTTTCTCCACTTATGGACACTGCTTACATGCCTTGTAAGTTATAACTGCTTACATGCCTTGTAAGTTACAAGAGCAAGATTTGTGAGTTTTCACTTCTTGAGCCTTGTAAATTGCATTACTTCTTTTTTTTTTCTTCTATTTATTTTTTTATTTATTACAATTTATTCACTTTGTATCCCAGCTGTATTCCCCTCCCTGGTCCCCTCCCTCCCTCCCTCCCTACCTCATCTCCTCGCACAACCCTCCTCCAGTCCACTGATAGGGGAGGTCCTTCTCCCCTTCCATCTGATCCTATCAGGTCTCATCATTATCTGCATTGTCTTCCTCTGTGGCTTGGTAAGGTTGTTCCCCCCCTTCCCCTGCCCTCATTACTTCCTGATGGTTTGTTTTGTTTTGTTTTGTTTTTGAGACAGGGTTTCTCTGGTAGCCTTGGCTATCCTGGAACTCACTCTCTAGACCAGGCTAGGGATCTGACTGCTTCTTCTCCCCAAATGCTGGGGTTAAAGGTGTGCACCACTGCCCAGCACTTCCTGACTTTTAGTTTAACTATTTCTGGGAGGGAATGTTTTTGATCTGAGAATATAGCTACACAACAGAGACCCTCATTAATCTTGTAGAGAGAGACTTTTTTTCTTTTTGACTCTGTGTAAAAAGTCAACTACTATTGACTTTGTTACATACGCCAGTGCAGAGACATTCATATTTTGTAATTATTAACTTATAAGCTCTGAGCTCTTTTTCAGCTTCAGTTAACCTAGGGAAACTAACTCTGACCACTTCCTTTTTTTTCTTCATTTATGACTGAAGATATTACTGGTACCTCCTTAATAAGGCTGTTGTGTGGCTTTAGTGAGATCACACACAGTGTGCTTAGCATCGGGGCCAGGCATCAATGAAGGTCTTAATGATGTTAGCTATTGTCATCCTAATACCGAGGCCATGGCCTGTGTCTTAATTAGCTTCTGGCATATCTATTGTCTGGCACATATGTGCTTGAGGAGGTTTTGTTACAATGCATATTGAGTGACTTGTTTCACATACCTGAGTGGGAATTTTAAAATTGTTCTAGAAGTCAAAGGGTGACTTAGAGTGTGCTAAAATGTTGTTTGACATGTCCAGAACAAGACAGCAAACAATCTTCCTAGAGACTCCCAAAGTATGCAGGTAATAACACATATTCAGCTGCCACTTAACTAATTCCGCAATAGATTATTTTATTCTTTGATTCCCCTGCCACTGTAAATTTAAGTCTTCAGTGTTGTCACATGCTCCGAATGAAGCACAGAGGTTGTGTAATCCCTGATGTGACCTTTAGGGCAAATCAAGATCGTAGGAAAACTGATATTATCACTTATTATTTGGATTAGTAATACACAACATATCGGGCTACCAAAAAGCATAGTTTACTCCTTCCAGATCTCATTCCTTTTTCCTTTTTCCTCTTTCCACAAATAACCCCTAACCCAAATCACATGCCTATCATTCCTATTCATTCTCATTCTTCTTATTTCTGTTTTTCTCTCTGATATCCAGATAATATAGTCTTTTAAAAGGTATTTATATAAAAATTGTCTTGATAGAGTTTTATAAATACGATGGTTAGAGAACATTAGACCAATTACTGACAAAACAACATTAAAACCACCCACCTTATCCCTATGGCAGTGTAAATTATGGGGCATAAATAAAAATCTTAAGGGTTTTTAAATTTTTTTATTATTTTTTTATTTTTTTAACCTGGAAGGACAAAGCAAAATAATACATATGAACACTGATGCCAAATGAAAAATAAGTCAAACATCCTTAAACTTGTATTGATAATGTCTTGTTAATGAGTTACATTTTTTTCCTTGGGCATCTCCATAGAGGGCCTGGGGAGAAGGGGAATGCCTATGCATGTGCTCTGCTGGGCAAGTGCGCT